AGACGTACAGACACACCACACACATTCACACGCACACATGCTCAGCGGAAACCTGACCCATACACCAAAGGACAAAATGAGTTATTTTATTTAAAGATGGTTTTAGACCCTGCATCTTGTTTTAGGAAGTCCTAAACATCATGGGAGCCCTGTTCTGTTGCATTCCCACTAAAACTAAAATTCAAAGTGTATTAGAATAATTGGGTCAGCTGATGTGAGTCCAAACTAATGTGTTGAGATGTTGCAGGCAACAACTTAAAAGCAGAAAAAAAGAGGAATAGTTATAAGTTCCCTGTTAAGTGAGCTTGGTTGTAAACACAACATTCGAACTCGATCATTCAGGCAGCTTTTAGGCTGAAAAAAACTTGTTGATTTGCAAAAGAGAAAAAGGAACTACTATGGACAAAACAATGGCGCAGGGGCCTGAATGTTGCAGCATTCACATTCTGAGGAACAAACAAAATCACTGCAAACTCTGTGGAAGTGTAACAAAAAAAGAATGGCCATGAACACAGCTGGTCCTTGTGATGTCAGTTCTAGAAGTTAATAAATGCACAGCAAAAAATAACATCGCAGTGTTCAGTGATTGTTGTTGTCTTGGGATGAGTTGTAAAATTGTTTTTTTTTTGTTCTGTAAGAACAAATAAATAAGTTAAAAAATGTTCTTGGACTTGAGGGGAAGCGCAAAATCAAATGGCAGCTCGACCGTTCAGTGGTTAGCATTGTTGCCTCAGAGCAAGAAGGTCCTGGGTTCAATCCCCGGTTGGACAAGGGGGTCCTTCTGTCGAGTTTGCATGTTCTTCTTGTGCTTGTGTGGGTTTTCTCCGGGTACTCAGACATGCATGCTAGGCTGTCTTCAGGCCTAAGCCTCCCTTGCAAAAGAGATCTGTGATCTCAATGGGATTTGTCTGATTAATAAAATGAAACTTTTTTTAGAATATCTCAAACTTTAGTAGTATTATTTTTTTAATCTGTTGCAAAATTGCGAGAGTTAAAGTCATTGTGAAATGGAACCTGCTACCAAAATACAAATACTATCTGGGAATGATTTCTGAAGTAATTTCAGTTTTAATTTAACATTTATCTTGTTAGGTTTGTGGAGTTCTGATGCAAAGATATAATTGTGTTTTTTTTTTTTTTCCTGTTTTGCTTGTACCACAGTCAGAGCATTAAAGTAATTTCTCTTTGCTATGAATCTATTTTCAGATGTTTTTTTTTTCTTCCTCTAAAACGTTTCTGCACTACACGACTCACCATAAACAGAATAAACCCAGGGTCAGAAATTGTGAAACTGAGTGTGGCATGTTTGATTTGCCCATGATGTTGTTCTCTGCATGCTCAGTGAATATGGATGCAATACAGATTTAAATTAATATACGTTTCCACAAACTTTTTTGTCTTCTTAAGATTTTAACTTCTCATAAGATGTAAATTGTTTGCAAAAAAGATGTCTTGCGATGTGTTTCTACCAGCTGAACATCCAGCTTTTTGTCTTTATGCTGCGTTTTGTTGTGTTCGGGGTTGTGATGGATAAGAAGAAAGGGATCAGTAAGCAGATCATGAACGATGCCTCGATGCTTTGCATGTTGCTTAATTCTTTTCAGGCTGCACTAGAGAAGAAAATGAGAACTTAGCTGAAGACTCAGAAGCTACCCTCTTCATTTTTAATGAACGTCCTGGGTCTTTTAATGAGACACTAGTGATGCCTGAACGCTCCACAGAGCAACGCAGGAGATCTTTGTCCCAGTAAAAGTCACATTTTAGAATAAACATCTTAGACTGCTAAAGTTATTTTGGATTCTGATAATATTCATGTTTGAGGGATGCTTTTGGAGCTAAAAAAAAACAAGTGTTTGTATGGTGATTGTTTGCTCCAGACCTCTGGTAATTTAGTTCCCATTATAGGGATTTATAAAGTTCTTTAGCTATGGGGAGTGGTGATGTAGATGAGATGGTGAGCCTGTGATCAGAAGATCACTTGTTCAACTCCCCGGACCGACAACATCAAAATGTTGGTCAGATAAATGAGGCATTCACACCTGTCTCCACCCTCATTTGCCCCACTCTGGGCCCTTGAGCAAGGCCCTTAACCCCCACTATCTGCTCACCAGGGTGCCCTAGATAGCAGCTCTCTGCTCCACACAGAGGGCTGTGGTAGCTCGGTGGTTTGTGGAACGTCAGGAAGGGCATCCGGTGTTAAAACAATTGTCAAGTCTTCGTGCGAGTTAATTCGCTGTGGCAACCCCTGAAGAAGGGAGCAGCCGAAAGAAGAAAAATAAAATAGTTATTTGGCTGAATATGTTCTTGTTTTGATACTTTTACATGAAGCTGAATAGAAATAAAGTGAAGTGGGGAAAAAACATTTATGTATTGGTCCGTCACTCTTTAATTGAATAAAATAGGTGAGTTTCTTTTGGCTGCTCTCTTCTTCAGGGTTCACCGCAATGAGTGAACTCGTGAAATATTTGACAGTTTGTTTTATGTTGGATGAAATTCCTGACACAACCTGGGCTTGAACCTGCAACCTCAGAAATACTAGATCGCAGTATTGACCACTGAGCTACCGTGGCCCTTTAAAAAAATAAAAATAAAAATGAAAGACCACATTTCTGTAGGTCTTTGAATCTGCATAGGATGTGAAATTGAAACTAAAAGTTCACACAAATGGGTCATTTTTGATGTAAAGGAACATCAGATGGACTGTTAGAGTCCGTTACCAACTAAACACAAGGTTGGTAGTCCAATTTCCAAGTATTTGTGGTTATCTTTTAGTAGCCTTTTGTGTTTATTCCTTCCTGGTTTATTTTCTGTGTTCTATCTGAATTTCTCTGTGCAGTCAGTCCATTTATTTCCTCTGTCTCCATTCACTCATCAGTTCACCATTGTGTGTGATTACACCAGGTCCAGTACTCCCAGTTTTTTCACCACGTTCTCTTTAGAATTTGTTGGTACCGGTAGTTTGGTGTCATGTCATCCTTCCATTTTTGTTTTTTTTAATAAATTCAAGTTTCACGGTAATCCAGTTCCTTGTGTAAGTCGGCACATTCTGGGCTCCACCTTACAAGGTGGAACAATCTGTTTTCTTTGAAATGCTTCCTTTTTCTCTCCCAGTTTTTCAAAATTAGCACAAAACCAACAACACACACGCACAAGACACACGTGTACAATTTCAATAGGCATGCGTGACATATATTTGAGCAGTTTTTGGCAAGACATAAAGCAATTCAAAGACAAAGTAATTGTGAGAAAGAAAACAAAGAGGATTGGCATTTTGTTCTTTTATCTATTAAAAAGAACAGAATTTTGCATCAGAGCATTTGTAATATTATTTATTATTATTATTTTGAAAGAGAAGGGTAAAAAAATGGATTAATAAACCAAGGGAGGGTCACGTCAAGGTGATAAATAGAGCAAATCACACTGGAACAGATTAGACAAAAGAAGACGAGGATGAAAATAAAGGGACATAAACCACAGGATGCTTTGAGACTGAGAGGGAAGGATGAAGAAAGGAACATAAAGAAGGAAGGGAAGAAATCACAGAGGGATGGATGAAAGACTGAGGAGGAGTTGAAGAATAAGAAAAGACTGAGATGAAAGAAGAGACCTGGTGAAAGAAAATAAAGTAGAGAGATTAGAGGGGAAACGATGGGGAAGGAGGACATTTGGAACAGAAGGAGGGGAAGGATGAGGAAGAGAATGGGTTTGTTGAAGGAATAATTTAGATTAAAGTAAAACGATGTGTAGCAGAGGGGAAAATGGAAGACAAGAGTGCTAGAAACAATAGATAATGTAAAGATTTGCTATGAACAGGGTTAGATGGGAAAAAAAAAAAAAGACAAAAGATAGAACATGAAACAAAAAATGTGAAAATATACCAGAAGAATTAAAAAAATATCCAACAATTTTCAGTCAGGTCATATGGAGAGTTTTTATTTTTATTTTTCTGAAACATTTCACCTTCCATCCGGAAGGCTTCATCAGTCAAGGAAACACACAACACAAAACTGATTCTTCCCCCAAACAGCTTACTCCAAAGTGGAACAAACCAGTTATGTTGGTGCTAAGATGGTGTCTTTGGCACGCCCCCTCCTCTTGTGCTGACCCTCTTCCTCGTCGACAGTCATGTCAAACTGGTTCAAAACCAAAAAAAGTCCATGCTCAATAATCCAGGTATACAATCCAACAATTTTCAGTGAGGTCATCTGGACAGTTTCGTTTTTTTTTTCTGAAACGTTTCACCTTTGTTACCACGTTTTGAACCAGTTTGACATGACTGCAAACGAGGAAGAGGGCCGGCACAAGAGGGGGCGTGCCAAAGACGCCATCTTAGCACCAACATAACTGGTTTGTTCCACTTTGGAATAAGCTGTTTGGGGGAAGAATCAGTTTTGTGTTGAGTGTTTCCTTGACTGATGAAGCCTTCCGGATGGAAGGTGAAACGTTTCAGAAAAAAAAAAAAACTGTCCAGATGACCTGACTGAAAATTGTTGGATTGTATACCTGGTTTATTGAGCATGGACTTTTTTGGTTTAATTAAACAACTAGTTAAAAACAATATAAAATTTTCCGTTGAAGAAAAATAGGTATTAAAAATTGTAAATAAATCAAATAACAAGAAATAAAAACACTTTTAATATATCCTTTCATCAATTATAGGCTCAGTGTACTTCAGGTTTGTCAAGAATAGACTGATTTGGTTAAAACATAAAAAATAAAAGCGTCTCCTGTCACTGTTTTGTCGTTTGTCTGTCGTACCTTTTGCTTGGGAGGCAGATCTGTGTTTGGTGAATTAAAAGATAAGGAAGTCTGGCAGAGATCAAAGATAAATCAGAAAGCAAATTCAAGCAGCGGAATTCCAAGAAAACTAGACAGATTATGTTTTTAAATAAATTCCCTCCCAACTTTCACGCATACCTTAGCTTCTTTGTTTATATTGAGCGTCTGAGTTTTAGATTAACCCTACATTCTGATTTGTTCTGTCTGTTTCTTCTCTGTAGGGTGTGGTTCCAGTCGGGCATCAACTTCCTGGCTGTGAAACCCAGCAACTTTGTCGCGTGGGAGATCAAACAGGAAATGGCACCGGGAAGCAGTTACTTGGCAGTGATATGTCAGAGAAAGTCCTCCTCCACAGCAGAGAGGTAGAACTGAAGCTCACATAACCGTTCACTTCTTTTTTCCCCAACATCTTCTTGTCATCCAGCAGCGCCTGCTCCTATTCCTTGAACAAAGCATATGGTGGGTGCATAAGATGTCTGAAATGGGCTTTGATTATTTTGCTTCAAGGCCAGAAAATTGATAGAGCTCTGTTTTTTTTTGTGCAACAAGATAGCTTAGGTGTTTTGTGGTGGCAGTCCACATGAAATAAAAACTGTCGGTGTGTAAGAAAAGGCTAATTATTTTGTGCAGACATTGCAAAGGGTTTTTGTTATTTTTGTGACACGGTAAAATAGAATTTTAAAATCAGTATGGGTGACCACTTCCCTTTGAGACTGTGTTCATTTTAACCACATTGATTTATTTTAACATTTGCCGTAATCCACCCATAAACATTTAAAATCATGTTTTAAATAATTGGAAAAAATATTTAAAAGCAGAAGCTTGAACAAACCAAACTTTCTTTATATTAAGTGTCTTTAAAAGCTGATAAATATGAAGACTGGGTTTAAAATGTTGACTTTTCATTCACTCTGCATTGGGGTCACTATTTAATAGACTATAGGGATATTTCAAACGCACCTGGAATGCAGCATATTTTATAGTTATGTCCCAAGTATTCAGTCAGGTATTGCATAAAAAATTGGTCAGCCAAATGTGATGTTATTCATGCCTGATTTTGAGGTGGTGGACATCAATGGTGTATTTTGGTTGAGAAAATCTAATTACCATAATTTACCTCCATACACTAACATAACGTATTTTAACGCAATTCACACTTTTGATGTGTTTTTTTATATATACAACCAGGGATTTTAATACTTAACCTTCAAAATACTAAAATGATGAATCATTGTTATCAATGTTTCATATATAACCATAATTATAAATAAACATAGATAATCAGAGATATTTTCAGTGAGTCTGAAATCAGAATAATGAACTGCAGACGTTAACATTAGCCTCGATTAGCTTGATGTGTCGGCTCATGCTGCAATGCATTATGGTCAGTTTTCACTGGTGTAGTTTACAACTATTATGCGCCCAGTTTTCAGGGTACTATATAATGATTGATAAATTACAGTTAAAATGTTGGACAGTACTGCAAAATGCTTGACAAATTTCAACATGACCTTCATTTTTAAAGCAATTTTGAAGTTTCTCAATCATATTTATTTGATTCATTTTAACAAAGCCCCAGAATTTTAACTGTTATATTTTCTCAAAGCTCTTGGCATTTAAAAGTAATTCTCCAATTTTACCCGTCAAGTTGAAAACTTTATATTTAAGGCTTGTTGATGAAACCAAGCATTAAGTTTACTTTAGGCGCATTTTAACTCTATAAGTACATGATTTGTCTTTTGCTCTTTGAAGACCCAAAAGTCTAGGCTGTTCAGCACATTTCATTACTTTAAAATAAGGATATTTTAAAACAGTTTTTGATTTGTAAATAAAATGCCAAACATACAGTATGGCACTGGTTTTAAGGGACACAATGCTAATCTCTAGATATAGTTTAAAGCTAATGTGTCCTCAGTTCACGTTTATAAAATTATTGTGCCTTTGCGTCTATTTCAAAGGATGTGAGAGAATGAGCAATGAGGACCAGAAGAAGGGAAATGAGCATTTTATTTTCTGTTTATGGCAGTCAAGAGACATTAAACTGCTGGTTGCATGCGTGCCACAAAGATCCCAATAGCATAACAAAACACAAGAAATGCAAAGCATGCTGTATGTAGTTGAGTTAGCAACATGGGAAACGATCAGGGAAATATAGTGCGAGTCCTTGTCTTCTACTTTTCCTCACGATTAATTGTTTAACTCTACTTTGTTTAACTTTTGTTCTGACTTTGCTCCATGCCCTTATACCTTTTTTATAATGCATGTCCCTCATTTTCAGTCTTCTTTCTTTCTTCTCCTTTGCTCCTTTGTTCTTCTTCGTTGGTTCAGAGCATTTGTGATAAATGTCTTTCTATTGGATGAAGCTGTTATTGCCAGAACACAGCTCCATTAGCACCACTTAGCTAACCGTTAGCTACGCCTTTCCTTGACTGATAGAAAGCATCAGCAGCAATGACTGATCACAAAGTGACAGAGTAGAACATAAAAGAGATGACCAAACATCTTTAAGCTTTCAAATGAAGAGCTTATGGACGGACAAAAAAGACGAGCTGACAGATAGACCAGGATCCAGACTCATAAAATTAAACAAAAAACAACTTCAAACAAAAAAGAATAGAAGGTGAACGCACATAAAGGCCAAAACAAAGATTTGACATGAACAGTAACACTTGGTTCACTATGTGATTATTAGAAAACTAGAAGTTGTCCAGCTGTTTAGAATATCACTGTCTAACAAACACAATTCTTAAATTGTGTTTTTACTCATGAGCACTACAGTGCTAAGTCTCTGAGTATATAACATTAAAATACAAATTAAAGTTTTCACTATGAAATGGTATCATTTATTTTATGCATTGTGATTTTTTTTTTACAATCAAATATAACAAACATAATTATATTGTATTTTTCATTCAACCTTTACTTACACAGATATATCACTTTGAGCCTCGACGTCTCATTTACAAGTGAGAGCTGTTTAGACGAACACAAAATAATGAAAGTGATGCGTATTGGATTTGGGGGCAAAAAAAAAAAATCTTATCAGACTGTTTCTCCTTGACCGAGGAGAAAGACCCTGATATTAATAAAACACCCTGCACATAGGCACATAGTGACGTAGACATTCTGCAGGGGAAGGAAGACGACAAGAGAGGGGGTCATGAAAGGACACTCCAGAGGCACTGTAGGAGTTCTGATAAGAACGGTACAATCAGTCAGTTCCCCCTGGTGAGATCCGTAAACGCTCTCATGCTGAGGTCGACCTGGAACAGCACCAGAGAGAATCTGAGAGTCCTGAAATGTTGATTCAGCCGGGTCCCTCTGATAGGTCTGCAGACTTCCTCAGTGGGAGGGAAAGGGAGGGGGCAGAGCATCAAATTTACAGGGCCTCCAGGTGAATTGAGATAAGGTGGCCAAAGGCCAGCCGGAGAGCCGAATTCAGATAAGTGGCAATTGTTTTGAGAACAGGTAGAACTTTACTGTGTCTGCCTTGACTCTTTGCTGGTCCTCTCGAATCACAAAGGTTCAAATTAAGTGGATAGACGCAGGCAGGCTGACCAGGACCAAATGTACTGCCGACGACTTCCTTGTTTGTTGATACACCAGGAACCAGCCAAATCCAAAAAGCAGGAAACCAGTTATCATAAATTCAATTGTATATGCATCCATGGCACTTGTCTTCTCCTCGAGAAAAGTCGGCTTGCTTGACGCTCGTCTCATCGGCCAAAAAAAAAAAAATAACAATTGCGTTGAGAGACCAACTGACCAGATCCATAGCAAAAATTTGCAGTTTAGAAGATATGGAATGAGAGGCTCTGAAGCAGTTTCACAGACAGGACAGAGCAAAGCAAAGCGGAGGAGGGAGAGGAGAGGGAATGCATCCGTCCTTGACAAGAGCAAGTGGTGAAGTGAAGTGGTGAAGGGAGTTTTTCCTTTCTACTGTTCCCACTGTGCTTGCTCAGGATGGGAGACTGCAACAAAGCCAAGATTCATCTTGTCTGCTGGATTCTTTAGATAGAGAACTTTACTAATTGGCTTTTATGTATGTGAATGTTCCTGTAAAGTGTCCTGAGACAACTTTGTTGTGATTTGGCGCTATATAAATAAACTGAATTGAATTGAATTGAAGTATGATACAGTATATTATATAGTAATGCAGATGGTCTTTTTGTGCACACGTGCATGTGTGGAGCTGTAGAAACATGCTCATGTCAGATTCAAAGAAGCAAATCAATTTCGCTTTTGAGATGGACAGCACTGAATACTGGAAAATAAATAAAACTAGTATTTTTTTATTTTATTTTTATTCTAAAAGTTAAATCAGGTCCTCT